CCCCCCCCCCCCGCCCCAAATGTTTTTAGAACTGGGCATGGTGACTCATGCCTGTAATCCTAGTGTTCAGAAGGCAGAGGCAGAATGATTGCTGTAAATTCAAGGTCAGCCTAGTCTTCATAGCAAGTTCTAGGCTAGCCTGGGCTATATAGGGAGACCCTATGTCTTGCCCCCTGGTAATACAAAGTTCCTCTCCCAGGCCTGCTCATAGTGTCACACTTGGTATCTGACAGTAATGTCACAAGGATCAGGCACCGGCTTCTCTTTTTCCTAATTCTATTATTATTTTGGTCTTTTTGAGACAGGGTCTCCCTATAGCCCCAGCTGGCCTGGAACTTGCTATGTTGACCAGATTGGCCTTGAACTCACAGAGATCTGCCTGCCTCTGCCTTCCCCAAGAGCTGGGATTAAAGGTGTGTGCCACCACGCCTGGTGGTTTATTATTTTATGTGTAGGAGTGTATGTAAGTGCACCCATGTTGTGCAATGCCTGCGGAGGTCAGAAGAGGGTGTTGGATTCCCCTGGAACTGGAGTTATGGACAGTTGTTAGCCACCATATGGGTGCTAGGAATTGAACCCAGGTCCTCTGCAAGAGCAGTCAGTGCTCTTAACCACTGAGCCATCTCTCCAGCCCTTTCCAGGTCTTTTTATCCGCATGGAAATCTTTGTGTGGCCATGCAACACCAATTGCTAGCTTGCCTCTAATATTCAGGAGGGAGCTACCAGAGTTCTCACAAGTCCAGAAAGCCTTCTGTCAGAGCATGCGCCCAGGACTTATGCTGTGGTCAAGATTCAAATCACAATCTGTTGTCCTGCTTGCTTAATCTGGTCTTCAAGAACCAATCTGAAATATTTTCAATTCTGTCACCGTGCAGTGTTCCCTGGAGAATTTCTGCACCTGTGAGTAGAAGTTAAAAATACCTTCCTCCCAGATGGTGATTGATGGCTGGAGTTCCTTGGAAAGGGATTAAAAAAAACATAAAGGGACAAGAATTCCCATCCTGGAGCAGCCTGTGGCAGATGGAGAGATAAAGGGCTGAGGAAGAGGTGGGCAATCTGGGAGGTAGCCGGGGAGACAGACAGAAGGAGGCAGGAAAGAGGTCATCAAGAGGCCAGGCAGACAGGGGAAGACAGCAGATATCGGTACAAACAATCAAGGGCAATAAAATAAGAAGCAACAAAAAGTGGGGTCAAACTGTGAAGGGACGCGGTGATCTCTCCTCTACCTCCAGCACAGGTCAGGATGCCGCCTGGTGCTTGACATTTGCCACAGTGCCAGATATGAGCTCAAAGCAAAGGGACACAGCCCCTGTCTCTCCTGTGAAGTTGAGCTCTTCCTCCCTATTAGGAGGCACCATGAGAGTGTCTCTGCACAGCCACATATGCACAGCTTCCAAAAGCTCAGTAAGGGGCGCTACAAAGAATTATATGAGTATATCTGCCCTTCCTCAGATAAAAAGTAGGGTTGGGATACCTGGAGAAAAGTATAGAATGCTGCACTGTATTTCAGGTACAGGAGGTCCTGTGGGGAGTGGGAAAGACTTTGAACTAAGAAACATTTGGTTTTGGTTTTGAGGTAGGGTCTCTCTATGCTGCCTGCCTGCCTCTGTATTAATCTCCAGCCTAGTTCAGCTTCAGCCTCCTGAGTAGCTGGGACTATAGATGCCTTATCTTGAGAAAGGATGGAAGGTGGGAATCCAGCAGATAAAGTCATCAGCTATGGTGGGGCAGCGGTTCTCAAAGGGAAGGTCCTCTGTTGACAATGCTGCAGAAAAGGAGCTTATGTGCCCATCATGCAACACGGGAAATGTGTTCTGCAGACAAGAAACCTGTGTTTCAGCGTCTACTGAACCCGAGGCTTAAAACATGGTTGTCTTTTTCTCCCATTTCTGTCCAAAACCTCCCCGTGTGTATTATCTCTGAATGTGCTGTGGGCTGTGACTCTGCAAGACAGCAGCTCTTAAAAGTCAGCCCTGCGCTTCCCTGATCCTGTAACAGACCATAAATCCTAGGCCAGGTCTAACGGCCTAAACTTCCAATCACTAGGAGGTGCCGCACTCTGTCTGGAATTCTGATCCAAACATTTCACCTCAGGCGTAGAGGGACAGATGTCCTCTGAAGTGATAGTTAGAAGAGTGACAATCAGGAGTCAGGTGCTGTGATATACATCTGTAGTCCCAGCCCCTAGGAGGCTGAGGCAAGAAGATGGCTTTGAGTCCAGGAGTTTGGGGCCAGCCTGGACAATTTAGTAAGATCCAATTTAAAAAAAAACAAACACAAAATAGGCTACCTGGGGAAAAAAAGTAGCCGGGAGTAGTGGTACATATCTTTAAACCCAGCACTCAGGAGGCAGAAGCAGGCAGATCTCTGTGAAATACAGGCCAGCCTGATCTATGGAGTGAGTTCTAGGTCAGCTGGGGCTACAGGAAGACTCCCCCCCAAACAAAATGGCACTCATATGTGCACACTAGAAATAGTGCACCTGGGAAGAGACTGGTTCAATAGCAAGGGCACAAAGGTCAGCACCCTTGGCCTCCTGGGCTAGACCAGTCAAGAGATGGAGATAGCTTACCCGGCGACCAGCCTCATTGTTCTGTAGGTTCATGAGGGCTCGGCCCTGCTCCTCTGAGCCCTTGACAAAGTTCTTCTCTCGCTCTCGAGCATCCACAAACTCCTTAGCAAAGCGGTAGCCGTACTCCACGTTGTCCCCACAGCCACCCCACAGCCAGTCTCGTGGCAAGTCCTTGGGCCTTACGGCCCGGCTGCAACCACAAGTGGACAGCTCACCCTCTCGGCAAGCACGGCTGATGGCATTCACCACACCAGCAGCACTCACAGCATAGGTGAAGGCGGTTTCCCGGCTGCCTGCAAGAGGGCACAGAGTAGGTGGTAAGCAGGTCACCCACCTCTATGGAGGCCTCTCCTTCCCTCTGCTTAGTGGTGGCACCGCCCATGGGATCCAGTGTCCTGGGGAATGCTTGCTCTTCCCATGACACTGATGGTTGGAAATTTTACAGTGGGCTGACCTTGTCTCTTTCTTACCTCTGCCTCTTGGGCCTAGCTCTGCCCTATGACATCCTCTAGGCCTAGTCCACCCATTGTACTTTACAGGACTCTAGATTGGCTCCCAGGAGGGAGCCTGAAGTAGAGGAAAAATGGGCTTCCTGTAATTTACAGACCACATGGGACTAACAGAATGAGACTCATGGGAACAGAACCTAAGCAAGAGCTGCTCCTTCAGACATAATTTCTCACCTTCCCATGAGCTATGCATCCATAGGCCTGTCTTTTTCATGGCTACCACTGTCTGGCTAGATAATGGTAGAGGCCAGGAATAGAAAGTTAACCAGACCAGCCCTGTCTAGAATAATCCCGCTGTTTCCTGCTCTCTTCCCTGGGCCCCAACACTGTCTCCCAATTCAAGAGCACCACAGCACCTGAAGTTTCAGACACGGAGGGTCCCAACTATGTTCCTTTTTTATTGCTGTAGTAATCCACTTAAAAACTCCCATGATGCATGTCTGTCATCCTGTCAGTGGGAATGTTATGGGTATAGTTGCTTTGGGAAAATAGTTTGGTGGCAACTCAAAAGGGTTTAACAAGAGTTCTCTGGTGGCTCAGCAACTCCAGTCCTACAAATACACCCAAGGGACTGGGCATGGTGGCACACACCTGTAGTCCTAGCACTTGGGAGGCAGAGGCAGGAGGATCTCAGTGAGTTCGAGGCCAGCCTGGTCTACATAGTTCCAGGACAGCTAGCGGGGCTACAGGGAGACCCTGTCTAAAAAGCCAAAAAAAAAAAAGTTCTGGTTGTGGCTGATCTGGGTATGGCTGATCCCTAAAGCCTGTA